AAACATTAAATAAAATACATTCCATAGGGCCTGTAGAAAAGAATAAGAATAGGTTACTCATACCATGACCCCTTAACCTCTCTCACTGAGGCTTACAGGAAAACTTGACATCAATTTGGCTTTTAAAAAAATCAATTTAGCTGACAGCAAAACCTCATAAATGCTTTTTTTTTTTTTTTTAGTTAATGTATGCATATCCTACATTTCCAACGTTTGCACTGACGTGAAAACAGCCAGTAGCATTAACTAACAAACAGGTCACTATAGACATTTGAAAACCTGACATTTACACAACTGGAAGTGTTGGTTTTGCTGCTTTTTAAGAAATACTCTATCAGATCCATTTGCGACTTTGTAGATTTTGTATCAGCCATGTTGATCTCTCTTACCTGTCAGTCTGATTGATCTTGAGTTTTAATTCCTCTTGAGGTACTTATTTAAAAAATAAAAAATAAAAATTACCTATACTATCAGTTTGCTTAGAATAGGCGACTGACATTTTATTGATGGTGTTGCCCATCAAGGATTGATTGTGTCCAGTTAAGAACTGACATCACAGCACTGGAGACTGAGTTATCTGCGTGGCACTCTGGACCCATACTTAGATCTACATCAGCATCTTCTGGCTAATAATGCAAGTCCTTTGCTCATTGATAAGGCCTCTTTTAGGTCTGTTATACCTCTCATGTCTCGCTGTGCTGATCTGAACTCTGCATAGTTTGCATTTTATTATGTAAAACAAACCACCTAAAACAACTTTCTCATTCTCTGATATTTAATCTGTCATTAATATGTTTTCTTTTGTTTCAGATAAGATACTTATATGCTACAATAATGATTTTTCCATAGATGTAGTTATTTCTTCAGACACAACTCCCTAGTTCTACTAACAATCTAACTGCATGTTTATTTTAGTGCATACAATCATACTGATTAGTTGTTATGTTATCACAATTGACTTCACTGCACACCAGACATTTCCATGCATGCTCAGTCTGCTGATGCAGCAACCACCCCAAGGTACCTCTGCTAATTATTCCCATGAGAAGATGGGTGCTGTGTCTTATAACTTTACCTTGAAGATGGCACCAGTATGCTTCACCATGTTTTGTGGCTGTGTAATTGTGGTAATGCTAGGGATTCATCATTATTCTCTAGTCTAGTCCATATATTGTTGATGATATCTGCTATGTCCATGTATCTTTCTGCATGCAGTTGTTCTGTCAAAACCTGCCAGCGGGTCCACTCGTTCACAACCTTATACTCCAGCATGCACAAGTATGTAGATCCATGTAAGGCTAGGTAATATCTTTGAGACAGAATGCTGTTGCTTATTGTGATATCCCATGATTTGACCAACCAGTAATAGAATCATTCTTGCAATGTCCATGGGTATTTCACAGTACTTAACCATATCTTTTTCTCGGACTTAACTTGCAGGAAACTCTGGTGGAAAGTTCTGGTTGTTCATCCACTTCTGGACTTTGGGTCTTCTTCCAGAGCTTGAGTTTTGCTTGCACATCTGTTTTACAGATGATCTGGTTAACTTATATGGAGACTGTTGGTTCCTGACCTCTCAGGCAGATGCATATTGACTTTAAAGAACGCAACCCTAATTTGTTGCCTCCAACGACATACTTCTTATGCGAGCAGTAGGGCTATTCTTGTTTTTCTCGCCAAGAACAGGACACCTGAACCCAAATTGGGGTAACCAACAAAAATTGCCTGGGTAAAGTGAATGAACTCTGTGAGTTAGGAAAAGTAAAAGGAACCTTTTTATGCCAGTAGCACACTGGGGATATTATGCCAGAATCACATTTTTGTAGGGGGAGTCGCTGTGGCAGAGCGGCTAGATGCGCGCCGTGGATCGGAAGGTCGTGGGTTCGCTCCCTGGCGGAGACAGACTTTTCTTCAAAAATGACCTTGGCTCCCAGGTCGACCCAGCCTTGAGTGGGTACCGGATGCAATCCCGGGAAGTAGAGGTTAATATTAAACACCTAGATCTGAAGGACTTCAGCAGAGACAACATCCAACAGAAGTTGTTAAACTAAAATTCCTATCTAAGAAGTTAATATAACAAGTGTTTGTGTTAAAAGGCAGCAAGAACATTATATTATCTTTGGAAAGAGCAAGAAATGTAAGGTGAATTGATTGCTTCTGAAAGAGTTGAACATTTCCTGGGTACACCTCATTATCAAGTTGCACAGTTTTCCGTCTTTTATGTAGAACAATTCTTCATCATCTTTGGTTTGCCTGAAATAAATTGTCTATATCAGGAATTATGTCTGTCCTTTAAGATTCACTGTTGTGTTTAGTATTTACTGATTCATAAAGTTTACAGTCCACTGTTGTTTTTTCTGGGCCAAAAGGTTTGCCTTAATGTGTCTAATTTGGTGCAGTCCTGGATTGCATGTTCTGGTGTCAGGGCAACTTTCCACATTAGTTAGTTTAGTTAGATATCAAACTGTCTCTGACAAAGCCAAACACAGGGCGTCTAAAGCAGTTAAAAACTGCACAGTAGGCTATTAGACCACTGCCTTGGCAAATCTGTCATGAACAGATTTCAGACCAAATAGTAAGTAGAACCAGTTAATTTCACATTATCGCAACCACAAACGACAGGTGAATGTTGCAGCTAGAAAGCCTTCATCAGCACATAAATAGACTGTGTTACATTTGCAAAAAAGAATGCACACAAATCACTTAACTGTTAACTGAAGTATGTCCAAGAAAAATCCAACTGTAGAGGGAAATAAAGATTCACATTTTGCTAGACAGAACATATTACCTTGAATGTAAAATGTATAGAGGAAGGAAACCTTAGATAAATGGATGCCAGAGTTGAACAATAGGATTTCTTGATATGTGTTAGACTCACTCCCTTGCAAGCGATGAAAATAAGAAAAAAGTGAATGGTAAAATGCAGCGAAACAATGTAGTGAGCACCAGACTCTTTGACATGTAAAGATTACTTTTTCATTGAATATTATCATGCTTTATAATCATAACAAGAGCCTTACTAACACAATTTATAATAATTATATATTTAGTATTAACTGTTGAACTTTTTTATTTGAGATGTACTTGCTCTGTTTTTGTTGGTTTATTTGGATCAGAATTATGCAGACTGTGAAGTGTTTTGTTAGAGTTTATAGTTGTTATTTCCTGTTACATTAGTGTTAGTTCACCAAACTGCTTTATTTGATAGTTAGTGTGGTTTTTGAAAGGAAAACTTTTGGTGATTATTAATATATATATTTATATGTGGTGCGTGCATGTGTGTGTGAGAAAAGACACTTTTTGATAGTCAAAATAGATTTGAAAATGAATGAATAAACTTTATTGTCAAAATAACCTTTCAAAAACAAATAAATGATTATTATTTTTTTTTTAATCTTAATTTATTGATTAAGATTTATGTTCAGAATTGAAATTTGATATATAACTTAGACATGTTTAAGCTTTTCAGCCCACGGTTGCATTACCAGAAGAAGAGATTCGGTCTGATTTGCCATTGCACACATGTGGCTCTATAGACAATAGGTCTCCATGATGAAGCGGGCTTCACTAACTAATTTCTGCCATGCATCTTTTCCACTGGGGGTCACAAGCAAGACAGTGCTCTTGAGGTCTTCGCTAGTGCCACATATGGTCTTGCAGGGTTGTTTTTGTGGGCCATATTTCTTCTCTCTGAGTTGCAGTCTTGTCAGATAAATGCTGTTGAATTTGCTTGGTACATCACAACCATATTTGGGGCAAAGTGGTCAAGCCATTTACCCCACCCTCTAAAGATCGTCTGTTTATTTTTGTTCAGTTCCTGAGTGCAGTTTAAAAAAAAAAATTTTTTTTAATATAAACAGTTGCGAAGATTTATAGAAAAGTCAATAGAGGAGAAGATAACATGTTTCCTCATAGCTTTTCATTCCATACGGGTTCCAGGCACCCATTTAAACATTTACAACTGTCCCACTGTCCCTCAAAAAGCATGTAATAAAAGGCAACTAATTTAGGTTTTCTGAAATCTGATTTGTTGGGGACCAAAAGGTGCATATATCACAACCTGGCTGTAAACCACTAAACCTGGCTGTAAACCACTAAACCTGGCTGTAAACCACTATACAACATGCCAACCACCCTTTTAATGATGAATGCAAATAAAGAAGAAGAGAGCCTTTCATTAGGACATGGAAAGTATCACTAAGAAATCTTTAAACCTTTTGAAGAACATGTAATATGGAGAAAAGTGATCGCTCATGCCAGTTCACTAGGCACTGGATGATTGTGATTGCTGGTGTATTAAACTGAAATTTCTTTTATATAAACCGAAGGAATTCATTATAAATTTGAAGTTACCCTGGTAAGTCACATGACTGTCGTGAACTGCCAGTGATTAGGTGAACCATGCATGGAGAGAGATAATTTGCATTTCAGTAGAATTTATTCAGTGTTTAAAAACATTGCCTTTACTTTTTTTTTTTAATCGCCATCTGTGGAACTAATGCAACATATACTGCTATAGTGTGTCTTGTTTTGGGTACTGTTTTCCACATGACAGCTTTCACAATCGATTCTACTGGTCAAATTGCTAACAATTTTAGGATGAAGCACTTGAGTATCAGGAAATAACATAACAAATTGTTGAACAAGCACATTTGAAAAATGCCACTGTTAAAGAATACTCATGCTCAGCCAAAAATGCTTTCTTCAGTAAACACTATTATATCTAAGATCAGTTACTAAAATACTGGAATATAGGAGTGATGTTCTTAACTAATAGTTACATGGTGCTTGAAACATGAAGTGATACACACATTTAATTGCGGTGGGCAAATGATGAACTTTAAAACGTCTGCAGTCATTAAACATACACCCCCTATGTTGATGTAACTGCAGTAATACACTTGACGAGTTACAGCAAATTGTGTGTGGCAGTAAATTGTGCAATATATTGTTTGTGGTGCATTATTGAAATGAAATGTCATTGTTTCTGTCTATACTAGAACTAACTGGCAATGTGCCACTGTGTGGCAATGGAATCATTGACAAAGGGGAAGATTGCGATGGAGGTGGAATGGGTCTCAGTGGATTAGACAAATGCTGTTCCAGAGAGTGCAAGTTCATTGGTAATGCCACCTGCAGGTATGAAAAGATTCTTCTGCCTCTTCTACTTCTTCTTCTTTGAGTTTACTGGCTGTAAACACCAGCAGAAAGTGTTCTGGTTGTTTGTCCACTTCTGAACTTTGATCTTGTTCCTAGACTATGGTGTTGCATGCACATCCATTTTACATATGTAGCTTATTTTATGCAAACTGTTGGTTCCTTGCTTCAGGCAGATGACTCTGACATTAAAGGAAGCGCCCCTTATTGGCCACCTTTTTTATGACATGCTTGTTTGTAGGGGAGGGGGGGGGGGGGGGTGTAAGTCTGTAATTGTTCCCCCGAAAATGGTGCTCTAGAATCCACACAGGAAGTGTGAATAGTAAAAAGTAAGGAAAAAGACCCTTTTTCTAAGCCTTTAGGCAAATAGGGCTAGACCTATATTTTTATAGACTGATCGGCACAAGATGGGTGATGTGGTCAGCATCACGCCGGGCCGCCTCTGCTTCCTGGGACTGCACCCGGTACCCACTCAAGGCTGGGTCAACCTGGAAGCCAAGGTCATTTTTGAAAAAAATCAGGCTCCGCCAGGGAGCGAACCCACAACCTAGCCGCTCCACCACAGGGACTTCCAATGTGAATAGATTGCAACAAAAATATTAGTGTTTAGCTGAAGAATTGGTAAAGTAGTTTTTTTCTTTGCATTTGCAAACTGTAAACTCTGGCAGAAAGTCCTGGTTGTTTATCCACATATGGGTTTTGATCTTGTTCCAAGACTTGTCTAAAGTAGTCAGAATACAGATCTCTCACATCTGGAGTCACAAGTTTTCTGCTTCAATATTAAAAGGCTTTTATATGTTAGAGGTAAGATAATTAATGTAAGTCAGCACACAGAAATGCTGACATCATTACTTTGCAGGTCTTTAGCAGATCATCGCTTTAACCATGGCCCAGTTGTATGACTTGATCTTTTAGAGTTTCCTCTGCCTCAAGCTCTTCCATACTCTTCTTGCTCCACTTCCTCCTCTTCCTCTTACTTCCTTCTTTTCTCCCTCTACCCCTTCTTCTTCTTCTACTACTACTCTTTTTCCTTCATTTACCTGAAAGTTATGCATTATTTCCCTTTTTTTTCTCTGTCCTTTCAGTTTTTCTTTAAACCTGCACACTCAGCAACAAAATAACTAAATAAAGTTTTGCTGCATTTTGTTGCATACTTAGACAATGTTTGTTTGTCTAATAGTAAATCAAATCTGTGTTACATGTATGTTCCTTCAAGATCAGTCAAATTTACATAGTGGAAAGGGAAATAATGCATGTTTTGGAAACGCTTCCTATGGCAAAACCTGTTGTTAACATTGCTGAAATTTGATTTTTATTTGAAAGTTGTGACTATAGTGAAGACTTGTCACCCACTTCCAGAAGGAACCTAGTGTGGTTACGTTTGTAATATTTACCCTTTTAGCTATGGCTCAATGAAGAAGCTTGACCAGTGTTGACAGATGGAGAGCAATAGCATGGCTGCAGGATCATGTAGGGCTGTGAGAAGTTGCTAGGAGATTAGGAGTTACCCATTCTGTCATACAAATTCTGCTTTATCGTTATAATGCAACCAGCAGAGCTGCAGAAAAATGCTGATCAGGACATCCAAGGTCTAGCACAATAGAAAATTGAAAGTGGCCATTCAGTTTTTTAAGCATTATGTGATGAACACAGAGGAAAGGGAAGACCACGCAAATTGTGCCGGAACTGGGTCAAGAACAACTTTAAAGAAAACATAATCACCTTATACAGTGCATTAAAAACCCCCGTGTGGGTTCCTGGGCCCCATTGTGGGGAAAACAAGAATAGACCCACTGCCTCACCAAAAGCATGTCGTAAGAGTCGACTAATTGGGGAGCTTCCTTTGAAGTCGGAGTGCATCTGCCGGAGAGGCAAGGAATCAACAGTCTTTATTCAAGAGAATAAGATCTGTAAAACTGATGCACACGCAACACTCAGGTTCTGGAGCAGGACTGCAGTTCAGTAGTGGACGAGCAACCAGAACTTTCTGCCAGAGTTTACAGCTGGTGAACGCGAAGAAGAAGAAGAAGTGCATAAAAAAGAGCAAACAGATCTCCTTACATCAACCCTAACACTTCTCACATCTACCCTAACAGATCTCCTTACATCAACCCCAACACTTCTCACATCTACCCTAACAGATCTCCTTACATCTACCCCAACACTACCATGTACATCTACCCCAACAGATCTCCTTACATCTACCCCAACAGATCTCCTTACATCTACCCCAACAGATCTCCTTACATCTACCCCAACACTTCTCCTCACATCTACCCCAACACATCTCCTTACATCTACCCCAACACATCTCCTTACATCTACCCTAACACTTCTCCTTACATCTACCCCAACACATCTCCTTATATCTACCCCAACACTTCTCCTTACATCTACCCTAACATGTCTCCTTACATGTACCCCAACACTTCTTACATCTACCCCAACACTTCTTACATCTACCCAAACACTTCAGCCTGGTAACCGGAGGAAGGGTGAAAGAAGATGGAGTATATAGTTCTGAAGTAAAACTTGCCATATAAAAATGAATACCATACAGTTTTGTGAATTTGTCTGAAAATTTGCCACCTTGGCATACTGAATCAAGGCCCAGAAAATACTTCAAAGACCTGACACTTCAAATGTCAGTTGTTATATTGTTATTGAATTGTCTTTACTTGTTTTTGTTTTTTCAGTGCCACCAACTCAGAATGCTGTAAGAATTGCCAGATGGCGCCACGAAACACCCTGTGTCGTGGAGCCAGCAGAGAACTATGTCAAGAGGCGGCATTTTGTTCGTATCCTTTCACATCAGTCTTGTTCATTTACAACAGCGTTAAGGGTCCCTAAATGTTTTCTTCTTCTGCCCTTTATCCTCCAATGGAGCAAAGGCCCTCAGCCAACTCACGCCCAGGTCCTTCTATCCTTTGCTATTGCATTCAACAGCTCACCCCATATCCTCTATTCTTTTTATTTTACTCTCTAGCTTCCTTCTCCTGTTTTTTTTGTGTGTGTGTGTGGGGGGGGGGGGGAGGCTTAAAATGAGGACAGATCACTTATGTGAATGTCCTTAGTTTTATGATGTCAGCTCTTGACTTGACATGCAACACTTTTTGTGTTATTGTTAGTGTTATTTTATTATTAATAGTAGTGGTATTAGCAGCAGGATGAGTAGCAGCAAATAAAACAGTCCTTAACTTATATGTAGTGGTCTGAGCTTAGACTGCCCCCTGTCCAGTCCAATGAAAGATGACACTCCTTGCATTGATGAGTAAGTTTTACATATAGTGTTTGCAGGACTGCTGGACAGCTGGTGCTCTAGCTTTCTCTGCTTTCTTCTGCTTCATTTCTATTGTGTGTTGAAAAGTATTAAAACTCTAGCATAGGTACTGAGGAGTGCTACTAGGATGGTACTGAGAAGTGCTACTAGGATGGTACTGAGAAGTACTACTAGGATGGTACTGAGGAGTGCTACTAGGATGGTACTGAGGAGTGCTACTAGGATGGTACTAAGAAGTGCTACTAGTATGGTACTGAGGAGTGCTACTAGGATGGTACTGAGAAGTGCTGCTAGGATAGTACTGAGGAGTGCTACTAGGATGGTACTGAGAAGTGCTACTAGGATGGTACTGAGGAGTGCTACTAGTATGGTACTGAGAAGTGCTACTAGGATGGTACTGAGAAGTGCTACTAGGATGGTACTGAGAAGTGCTACTAGGATGGTACTGAGGAGTGCTACTAGGATGGTACTGAGGAGTGCTACTAGTATGGTACTGAGAAGTGCTACTAGGATGGTACTGAGAAGTGCTACTAGGATGGTACTGAGAAGTGCTACTAGGATGGTACTGAGAAGTGCTACTAGGATGGTACTGAGAAGTGCTCCTAGGATGGTACTGAGAAGTGCTACTAGGATGGTACTGAGGAGTGCTACTAGTATGGTACTGAGGAGTGCTACTAGGATGGTACTGAGAAGGAAGCAGGAGGAGATGCTGTTGTATGGAAGGAAAGTTCCCCTCCAGTAAAACTTGAGCAGTCTGAAATTCTGGTGTTTTGTGTCTCTCTCTTCTTACTAACTTGAACCTGGTTGAGACTCACCAGATTTGACTGTTACTAAAAATCTGTCCAGAGAACCTTGGTTCTGCCTACTCCTCAGGATGTTTTGTAAATGTGACATTGTTTGGTCAGTCCAGAGATGCTATTACACCTTATTTTGTTTTTGTTAGAGCGGTACTTCTCTGCAAAGTTGTTGAAATCCATCCATTTGGCCAACATTTCCTTTATTAATGAGAGTGGTAAACAAGGGTTGCATGCAGTGTCGTGACTCAGTTTGAATCACCCAAGTTCTAGCACGCAAGTCGCTTCCAAGCAAAGGCTGTATACCAAGCAAGATTTTCCGTTTCTAAAGAGCAGTATACCAAATCAGAAAGGCAGAAATATAGAATAACTCATGGAGGTTGAAGCATTCAAAACCAAAACAAAGTGGACATTTTCATAATTATAATTTATTTACTTTGTATGATTTAGTTTTGTTTCTGTGTGTAGAGCCTGAAGAAATGTAGCTATATGTGTAATTGTCAATTTGATTGGATCATGTAGCATCATTTTCACAGATATGTGTAGGTGCGGTTAAGTGCTGTAAAATTGAATACAGTCAGTTATTCAACACGTGCATTATCTGTTTCTTCACAGAGGCAAATGCATCAATGGGACATGTCTAGACTACTGTGCTTATGAGGGTTATCTGATCAATCGGATATTTAAACCATGTCGCTGTGAGGAAGCTGGTAGGTTGGATGTTTTTCTTCTAAGTAGTGGTTATTTATTAGTGAGGACTATCACCACAGCACTCCAGATCCCTAGGGGCCCCGATATCCTCCTCAGTAACTCCACAAGACTTCCTGTCAAAATGGATGCTAGGCACGGTCACTGTTGCTTCTGCCAGATGGTGGTCGGTGCAGTTTTGCTCCATTTCTGACTGAAAGGATAGTTTCATTGCCCAGCTTCTGAGTAAAGTGCATGGCATGACACTGTGAGCTGCAAATTTCATTTGGAATGTTTTTCTACTGTGACCAACGTGGTGTTGTGAATGGTAGATTCAGAAAATGGTGCGATGCCTGTTGTCGCAATATTGGTGGTGCCATTATGTGATTAAAATTGATCGCGTGTGCAACTGCTGACCTGTTGGTGACTTCTGCTACCATCCATGATGAACAGCATTTCTTATGTTGGACTGTTAGCACTTCGGATGGCTACCTTATGCTTTTAATACGTGTGTATGTTATAGCACATGCTGAGACAGCAGTCTGTCAATCTTTCCCCAAGGGACTGTGATAAACATTCTGTGTGTTTTTCGTTGGCACAGGAGCGGAGCAACTATGGGGTGACTCATTTGCCATGAAGCTTAAACTAAGAATTAATCAAACATCTTGTGTCCTTAATGAAATGTTTAAATCTGGCCACTTCAGGTTGTACTCCGCATCCACTAACCAAGAAAAGAATATGGATACTGAATCCCGCTTGTTAATGTGACGTCTTTCACAATATGCCACTTGTATGGTATTACTGACATCACTCCTGTTCAATGCTGAACTAGTCATGATAACTAGCTTGCCTGCCAGATAACCGACATGCTTGTTGCTTGGAGCGGCGTCCGTGACTTAGGCGTTGCGAGTCCGACTCGTAATCCAACGTACCGCGATCAAAACCCTCCTGGCTGTGTGGATTTTTATCGAGGTATGGGCCGTTGTAGGTCGACCCAGCCTAAAATGGGTACCAGGATGGCTGTCCGGGGAAGTAAAGACGGCTGGCGTAATGCTGACCACATTACCCATCCAGTGCCGATTGGTCTGTAAAAATATGGGACGATATATCCGATGCGCCTTAAGCGTGAAAAGGGATCTTTACTTTGTTTTTGTTTTTACTTGTTGCCTCGAACCTTTGCTTAGCCTGGCAAAAGAGAAAAGGTTGTGTAATTTGTAAGTTCAAATGGATAAGCAATCATGACTTTACACCAGAATTCACAGCCGGTGAACAGAAAGAAGAATATATAACCTAGAATAGCAACATTTACCCAAACATTTGATAAATTTAATGAGAGAATCCATTTTTGTCTGCTAAAGCCAGTCTGTATTTTCTTGATTTCTTCTGAATACTTGCAAACATACCAGTCTCTTGGTAGGGAATGTGCACTCATCATCATTTAGCTAGTCCTTTGCAGACTGTTGCTGTTATCACAGTCAGTGTTCATTTGCCCAAGACCCAGGGAACAAGAAAGAATGGCATATTAAGCCAGTAAAATGGATGAACACGCAAAACTCAGGTCCTGGTACAAAACCAAAGTTCAATTGGATGAGCAGTCATGACTTTACACCAGAATTCACAGCCGGTGAATACAAAGAAGAATATATATACCCTAGAGTAGCAAGCAACATATACCCAAGGCTGGCAGCATGTACCCTAGCCTAACAACATATATAAAAGACTGTCCCCGAGACTAGCAAGCTATACCCAAAACTAGATTTTTGCATTACAGCCTTAATCCCCTGATTCCCCATTTCTGTTAACTTTCCCCTGCATTTATTTCTCTGTATGTAAAGAATACATGTCCTGTGCTTACAGAAAGCTCTTGCCTACGCTGCTGTATGTCTGCCGAGGAAGCCTGTAGACCACTGAATAAATCCAGCAGCTTTGACAGTTTTCTCCAGGATGGGAGGCCTTGCCAGTATGGATACTGTGAGGTAATCGGGCTGTACACTTTCAGAGACTGCTGTTTGTTTTTTAGCAAAATATTATTCAAGACGTCTTTGTTGTATAGCTTTTGTAGGCACCTGTGATGATTTGATTTAATTTTAAAGAATCAGTATCATGGAACTCAGGGTATCAGCATACATTTTCAGTCTCCTGCAGTAAGTCATAAAGTGTAGGTCTGTGTTGTATGTTCTGTGTCCCTCATATGTTACTTGTCTGTCATACCCACTTTTAACTCCATATTCACAATCTGTCCACAGTTGTTACATCTAACATTGTGTCTTCATCTAGCATTCGTTCATAGATAGTCCTAAGAACATTTGCTCTACCCGTCATGATTGTTCTTACAACCAGTGATTTTGCATCCTTTAAATCCACTTGTTCATTGATTGCCTGACAGACCTGCATGTAAGTCCTAGTGAAATAGAAGTATTGGTACATATCAAAAACATCACCACATCTCAGCTGGTGCAAGATTTAATGTCAGCTCCCATTCATGAGAAAAATGGGCCCCAATTTATGTCTTTTGAATTTTTACAAACAGAACAGAATATCTTCCATGATAAATTATGTTAGTTGTGTCTCCATTTGTCTCATTTCAGGCTGGAAAGTGCCAGAAAGCAAGTGCCAACATGATTCAGAGATTGTTCGACTTTATAGAGCACTTGGATTCTAGCACCTTTGGTTTGTCAATTGCTTGTTTTTTATATACTTAGTTCTCATGTCCTCGATTGCCTGTTCTGGGGCACCAATTCCTTTTTTTTCTTCTTTAGCAATCCGAGCCCTTGAGCTTCATTGCTGCAAATATCACTTGCAACTAAAAATGAAATGAGTAAGATTGACTGGAAACAGAAATTACAGTTTCATGAAATAAAAGATTGGCTGGAAACAGAGATGATGGTTTCACAAAAGAAAAGATTGACTGGAAACAGAGATGACAGTTTCATGAAAGAAAAGATTGACTGGAAACAGAAATGACAGTTTCTAGAAAGAAAAGATTGACTGGAAACAGAGATGACAGTTTCTAGAAAGAAAAGATTGACTGGAAACAGAGATGACAGTTTCACGAAAGAAAAGATTGACTAGAAACAGAAATGACAGTTTCTAGAAAGAAAAGATTGACTGGAAACAGAGATGACAGTTTCTAGAAAGAAAAGATTGACTGGAAACAGAAATGACAGTTTCTAGAAAGAAAAGATTGACTGGAAACAGAGATGACAGTTTCACGAAAGAAAAGATTGACTAGAAACAGAAATGACAGTTTCTAGAAAGAAAAGATTGACTGGAAACAGAGATGACAGTTTCAAGAAAGAAAAGATTGACTGGAAACAGAAATGACAGTTTCATGAAAGAAAAGATTGACTAGAAACAGAGATGACAGTTTCACGAAAGAAAAGATTAACTGAAAATAGAGATGACAGTTTCTAGAAAGAAAATGATTTCTATTTTGTTATTCCCCAGTGGCCTTTATGAAGAGCAACATTGTTGGAACCATCATCGTGTTCTCTCTTGTTGTGTGGATCCCACTGAGCTGGACAATTAGTTGTATTGTATGTATATCGGGAGTTTTGAAGTTTTAAATGAATGGCTTCATTTTTAATTGGTTAGGTAATTAGCTGTTTGATTGGTTGCTAGCTTGATCAGTTAGTCAGGTGATTGGTTAATTAGCTGGTTAGCTTATTGGTTGCTTTGTAAGTTATGTTTATATAACAGGAAGAACAACTAAAACAGTAATTAATTAATTACAAACTCATTAAATGGTGCCTGCACAGAATAGAGAATACAGGGAATCAATTAGTATGTGAGAATCACCTGTATGGAGCTTTGGGAGAGAACTAAACAAATTTGGGTGAGTCAAGAGGCGAAGAAAAGATACTGGCGTTAAATAGGACATGCATTGAGAAAATATGAGAGTTGAGTTGAGTCAAGAATTGACATCACAGCACTCGGGGGCATTCTCATGTGTGCTCTGTCCTCATCTTCAGCAGCCATCGCAGAGTTCCTGTACTGATGGTACCGGTCACAATCTGGTTATTTGTCTATCTTGCCTTTCCTCTGAGTGTAGCGAGCCAGCCAGACCCTCTGGTTACACCCAGGTGCCTTGTTTTCTCCAGGCCTTAATAATCTTGTTTCTCTGCTGATTCCTTTTCTTGTTCTCAAAAGGCCTTGACCACATCTGCTTTGTCATGTATCAATTTAACCCCCGTGATGCAAATCGGCCAATCTATGGCGTGTTCATTACCCACCATGCCGGCATAGCCTGGAGAAAAGATCCAAAGTATGCTCACTACCCATGATCTTTCCAGTAAAGCTTGCCATTCTGCTCGAAGCATCCCTGTCTTGACCTTTTTCAGCATGCTTTCAGAGTTAGTTACAATTACGACATGTGTATGCATCTTGTTCTCTAGCCGCCAGAGAGCTGCAGTTACCGTCTTACGTTATACAATATGAGAACAGTGTAGCAGTAATGTCATTTCACTGGAACCCTAAGGGGCATAGAAATAAAGGCAGACCAAAAATCATATAGAGGAAAGAACTAGAGGGTAAAGGTACAAAAAAAAAGTGAGGAAAACATGGGGTGAGAATGATTTAGCAAGAGTTGGTTGAGGGCCTGTGCTACACTGGGAAATAAATGGCTGAAGAAGTAAATTTACAGATTGCTTTGTCTGATGAATAGATGGTTTATTAGTTACTGAGTTAATTGGCTGGTTTTTCAATAAGCTGATTTGTTACTTGATTGGATTGTTGGTTTGATGTTTGACTGGTTAGTTAGTTATTTGCTTTCTTAATTGAGAGTGAGTTAGTCAGCTAGTTGCATAGAAATAATGACTTCATTCTACATCTTTTATACGTGGAGTTAATATTACAGATCTGAAATATGTGTACCCAATTACAGCAGATGGAAAAGGGCAGTGTTGATGACTTGAGAAGACCTGGAGAAAGACAAAAGATAATAAATAAATGTAAACTGACATCGATACCAAGGGCAGTGTTGATGACTTGAGAAGACCTGGAGAAAGACAAAAGATAATAAAGAAATGTAAACTGACATCGATACCAAGGGCAGTGTTGATGACTTGAGGAGACCTGGAGAAAGACAAAAGATAATAAAGAAATGTAAACTGACATCGATACCAAGGGCAGTGTTGATGACTTGAGGAGACCTGGAGAAAGACAAAAGATAATAAATAAATGTAAACTGACATCGATACCAAGGGCAGTGTTGATGACTTGAGGGGACCTGGAGAAAGACAAAAGATAATAAAGAAATGTAAACTGACATCGATACCAAGGGCAGTGTTGATGACTTGAGGAGACCTGGAGAAAGACAAAAGATAATAAAGAAATGTAAACTGACATCGATACCAAGGGCAGTGTTGATGACTTGAGGAGACCTGGAGAAAGACAAAAGATAATAAAGAAATGTAAACTGACATCGATACCAAGGGCAGTGTTGATGACTTGAGGAGACCTGGAGAAAGACAAAAGATAATAAATAAATGTAAACTGACATCGATACCAAGGGCAGTGTTGATGACTTGAGGGGACCTGGAGAAAGACAAAAGATAATAAAGAAATGTAAACTGACATCGATACCAAGGGCAGTGTTGATGACTTGAGGAGACCTGGAGAAAGACAAAAGATAATAAAGAAATGTAAACTGACATCGATACGAAGGGCAGTAAAGCAGCAGACCTGCAGCAGGGGACATAACTTGTGAATGCCTTGTGTGTCAAAATTGAATGTTGTTGAAAGTTGAATTAAGAATCGGCATCACAGCACTTGGGATACTCCCATAAGTAATCAGTTCCCATCTTCAGCAGCAAGCAAAGAGTTCTAATTCCGATGGTACCAGTAACCGTCTGATTGTATATCCACCTCATCTTTTCCTTGAATGTTGAGCGTCAGCCAAATCCCCTGGTAACTCCTCACAGCTCCATTCTCCTTAGACCGTAATGATCTATCTACACCTCCGCACTGTTTACTCGCTCCCAAAGGGTGTGTCAGAAATAAACAATAAGAAGGTATATATATACAATGAATGAATGGGAGCCGCCATGTTGTAGCAGCTAGATGCTTGCGTGGGGCCTGTTATTTGTAGCTTCAAATCCAATTGAGCCCGATTTTTTTTTCTCCAGAAATAACCTTAGCTGTCAAGTTGACCCAACCTAAAACTGGTACCAGGTAAAGTCCTGGGAAGTAAAGGCAGCCGATGTGATGTTGCCAGTATCACCCACTGAGTGCTGATGGGTCTATAAAATAGAGGTCTAGCTCTAAATGCCCTATATGCCTAAAGGTGGGGAAAAGGGTCCTTTACTTTTTTGTTTACTAAATGCTGAATATGACAGATGAGATGGAAAGTGGTCCTTTACTTTTTTGTTTACTAAATGCTGAATATGACAGATGAGATGGAAAGTGGTCCTTTACTTTTTTGTTTACTAAATGCTGAATATGACAGATGAGATGGAAAGTGGTCCTTTACTTTTTTGTTTACTAAATGCTGAATATGACAAATGAGATGGAAAGTGGTCCTTTACTTTTTTGTTTCCTTCAAATTAAAAACACTGAATGAATAATTAAGTCAAGAATTCATGCCATTGTACTTTGGACATTCCCACAACTGCTCTCTCCCCAAAATTGGTGGTCAACAAAACAGTTATACTGCTGGTGCCAGTTGCCGCCTGATTAAAATTTTGCCTGTCTTTTCCTGAACATGTCAGATCCTCACCTGACTCTCTGCTGAATCAGTCAAGTTATGAATGTTCTGTCTGGTTTTGGGCTGTTCACTTGATCACAGAAAGCCTTCACTACGCCTGCTTTATGATAAAATTGCTCACCTCACAGAGGAGTGGCAGCAGCCAATCTATTAGCCTGCTCATAACCCAACACCCCAGAATACAACATTTAGAATTGTTCGTTTGGTGATTGTGTTAAAACATTGTAAATGTGGCTATACTAATAACCATGATACTTGCATTAATGCCTACGTAGGACAAGCGCAATGCAAGGAAGTCCAGAGAACAGGATCTTCGCTGGGTCAGTAATGAAGCACTTCTGTTTCAGTCCTTGCAGGTTTGCACGCTTTGTATGTTTTTTTTTTTCTTTTTTCAGTTAGCTTCTTCTTATTTAAACAACAGTGTTTCTGAGCTGAATTATGTGACAACTTTTGTTTTTTAAATAGGCGTGTAAATTGGGCTCTTTTGTCAACTGTTTGGTTGCTGTTTATTTCTGCTGATATTATTTGTAGGTGTATTCTTACCTGTGCAGATGCAGTGATTTTTATTTTCATCATTTTCAAAATGTTGAGAGGACAGAAATTGCCAAAAGCTTGTACCAGTGAAGTTTAAACTGTCTATATCTACCACTTTTTAGGGTGGTATAGGACAAGGGGGTCTTGAGCCTAAGAAATAAATGAAACAGACTTCATCCTAGATGTAAGCAAAAACAATAAATGAAACAAGACCTGATCCTAGACTTAAGCACCAACAATAAACGAATCAGACTTCCTCCTAAATGTAAGCACCAACAATAAATAAAACAGACTTCATCCTAGATGTAAGCACCAACAGTAAATGAAACAGACTTTATCCTAGATGTAAGCACCAACAATAAATGAAACAAGACGTGTTCCTAGATGTAAAAGGAACAACAATAAATTAAACAAGACTTGATTCTAGATGTAAGCAACAACAATAAATGAAACAGATTGGATCCCAGATTTTATCAACAGTAATAAATGAAACAGTCCTTATCATCAGATTCAAAATGTATACTCATTCCTCTTTAAAAAAAGAATCTATACTTTTGTAGGGATTAGAAATATATTACATTCTCAGTTGCCTTTTTTATTCACTATCCCCTCTGCCATTTTTGGGAAGAGAAATTAATGTGAGCCAAATCTGTCAAAATTCATGGGCCTGAGTTAATCCAAGATGTAAGCAACAACAATAAGTGAAACATAAATAATCCTAGATGAGGGCAACAACAATAAGTGAAACATAATTAATCCTAGATGTAAGCAACAAAAATAAATAAACAGACTCATACCTGAATGTCAGGAACAACAATAAATGAAATAGAGTTAATCCTAAATTTATGCAACAGCAATAAATGAAAGAGAGTTCATCTTAAATGTAAGCAACAGCAATAAATGAAACATAATTAATCATAGGTGTAAGCAACAACAATAAATGAAACATAATTAATCTAAATGTAAGCAACAGCAATAAATGAAGCAGACTTAATCATAAATGTAAGCAATCCCAATAAATGAAGCAAACTTAATTCTAGATGTAAGCAACAACAATAAGTAAAACAGACAATCCTATGTGTAAGCAACAACAATACATGAAACATAATTAATCCTAAATCTAAGCAATGGCAAAAAATGAAGCAAACTTAATCCTAGATGAAAGCAAAAACAATAAGCGAAACATACAATCCTATATGTAAGCAACAGCAGTGAATAAAACATAATCATAGGTGTAAGCAACAACAATAAATGAAACATTATTAATCCTAAATGTAAGCAACCACAATAAATGAAACATAATTAAATCCTAGATGTAAGCAACGAAAATAAATGAAACAGACAATCCTAGATGCAGGCAGCAACAACAAATGATAAACAGTTAATCCTAAACTTAAGCAACAACAATAAATAAAACAGAGTTAATCCTAAATGTAAGAGACAACAGTAAATGAAGCAGACATAATCCTAGATGTAAGCAACATCAAGTAATAAAATAGACAATCCTAGATGCAAGGTTAATAAATTGCAAGCAAGGTTAATAAATGAAGCATAAATAATTCTAGATGTAAGCAGTAAATAAACATAATTAATTCCCAATTTAAGCTGCAACAGTAAAATAAAAGACTCGTTTCTATGCCTGAAAGGCATTTGATATATGGTGCTGATGAAGTTTAAAAAAAAAAATATACACTTGAATTCCTTAAAAGTCGGAGTGTCTCTGTGCTTGAGAGGCAAGGTACCAACAGCCTGCACAGAACTAAGACAGATTTGCAAAAAGAATGTACACTGCCAAACTCAAGTTCTGGAACAAAACTAAAATTCAGAAGTGGATGAATAACCAGAAATTTCGGCCAGAGTTTACAACTAGTGAATGCAAAGAAGAAAGAAGATACTTGATTGATGGTATGGCCAGTATCTTTTCACTCATGTTTGCTTTCCAGAATTGTTCCTGGTAGCTATTTTAAACTGAGTCACACAGGGAACTCACGTTAAGTTTAACAAATGCTGTCAGAATTCAAATACATGGCCACTGGAAAATGGATCTATGACAGGTCAGGCAAACGAGTAAAAGATTTAACTGTCAACGCAGTTTATTTAAATGTTACAGCAAACTGCTCCAGTTGACTGACAACACGCATTTGTTTGTTTTTACCATTTACCACGCGGCGTCCGTGGCTTAAGCGTTGCGAGTCGACTCATAATCCAACGTACCGCAATCAAAACCCACTGCTGGCTGCATGGATTTTTATCATGGTATGGGGCGTCGCAGGTCGACCCAGCCTAAAATGGGTACCAGGATGGCTGTCCTGGGAAAGGAAAGACGGCCGGCGTAATGCTGACCACATTACCCATCCAGTGCTGATTGGTCTGTAAAAATATGGGACGATCTTCCCATATACCAGATGCACCTAAGGCGTGAAAAGGGATCTTTACTACTTTTACTTTCCATTTACCAGTCTAGACTTGTTAATTTTGTTGAGTGGTAATTGTTTCTTTTCTTTATCTGTTGTGATAAAATTTTTCATGTTTGATGTTTTCTGTTGCAGTCAGCTTTTTTAACCCTTTGGAGCTTTTTTGGAATTTCAGTGTCAAAAAGGCGAAGCCTTCAGGGAAGAATTCTCATAGTTTACACACACAAAAGTGTAGAAAATAAATAGTGTAATTAACATATATAAAACTGTATATATTCGGGGAGGCAAATGAATGAAGTAACAGAATATGTATGAATCAAACTGAAATCTCAACATTTAATCAAATTAACTATTATGATTTGCATAATTTATGCAGGCATTTTTGTTTTAAACTTGTTATCAAACATGACTAACCTGAAAAATTAGGGTAAATTTTTTTATGGATGAAGCCTGAATTAGTCCTAAGACTTGTATTTTGTGGAAATAAAAAACACGGAGACACTTTTGACACATGGTTCTACTCATTTTGATGTGTTAAGGCCTTTTCGCCATTGTTGAGCGCATGTGAGCCTACACACTGTAAACTAACAGAACACATCAAACTTTCTCAAAAGCTGTCATTAAACAGCCCACATGCGCAAGAAATGTGAGAAGCAATCTGATTGGTTAGTATGAAAACCTGGTAGCCAATCTCAAGGCTTTTATTACACAAGGCTGACTGATCAGCCCAGCCGTCCTTTTGGTTTCTTTGCATTGGGCTGATATTTCGGCTGCGTCGTCTCCACAGGGTTAATGTCTCCATATTTGATGTTTTCTTTGACTAGTCATAGACTTTAGATTTTGTTGCAGTGTCATTGTTCCATTTCTAGTAGTAAGTGTTTGCTGCATTTCTCAAAATCTGTTTTTATGTTTAATTTTTCTTTTTACATGACTTTTACTTGTTTCTTTTGTTCACAATGTTGCAGACTGTTGTAATCAGTTTTTAAAAAATCAGTTTATTCATTTGTCATCTGATATTTTGTGATTCTGATATTTAACAATTAGAATATGCTGTTCAGTGTTAAAAGGCGACAAACCTTCAACAGTACATCAGTGTGCATCTGCCTGAGAGGTGGGGAAAAGTTCTGGTTGTTCGTCCATTTCTGGACTGTAGTCTTCTTCTTATATTAAAGCAGAAGGCATGGTACAAGGAAAAAGGGGCAGGGGCCGACCGACACGAAGATGGGCACAGGATATAAGTGACTGCTTGAGTGTGAAAGTGCATGAGGCGGGAGAACTGGTGAGAGACCGAGTTTCTTTCAGGCAGACTGTGATGAGAGCGACGTTCTGCAAAGGACTTGCTACATAATGAGTCTTCTTCTAGAACTTGAATTTTGCATGCCCATCTGTTTTACAGATCTGGCTTATTTGTGTGGAGACTGTTGGTTCCTTGCCTCTCAGGCAGATTCACTCCGACTGTGAAGGAAACAACCCTAATTAGTTGACTTTCGTGACATGCTTGTTAGGGGGCAGTGAGGTCTATTCTGAAGCCCCAGGGGTGTTGTAAAATATATTTGTGTTAAAGAGAAATAGGTACTGGAATTGTATACAGATATCAAATCCCTGCAGAGCAACCTTCTTGCCAACCAACTCAAAGACTACAGTGTCAGGGACTCAAGGTTCCGCTGGGCAGGCAGACCTCACTACCAGGGATGTTCAAAACCAGTCAGGCCTGACAACCATGAGTACTCGCCTCCGGTTAATGACGCTTCTGGTCCAGATAGTGACGGTACAGAGAAAAAACACAGGTTTTACAATGAAACCGATGGCACTGTAGAAATGGAGACGGTGATCTAAGAGAGGTAGGTGAGCTTGTGTGCGTTTGACAGTTGTGAGAACATGAAGCTTTGTCAGTATGTAACTTTCATCTTCTGTCACATTTCTGTTTCAATGTATAAGTCAAGTCATCTTCTTCAGTGTGTGTATGTGTGCATGTATGTCGGTGTATGTATTCCTGTGAGTGTAAATGTGTGGTTGTGGGCATATGTTGGTGTCTGTACATGTGATTGTATATGTGTGTATGCACGGATGCATGTATAGGTGTGTATGTATGTGTGCATGTATATCCATAAATGTATATGTGTGTGTTTTCTGTTTGTGCATTTATGTCTATGTATGTGTATGTGTTTTATGTTTGTGTATGTATGTAGATGCATGTGTGTATGTATTACGTATGTCTGTATATGAGTTTGCATGTATGAGAACGTAGGAAGTATGTATACGTGTGAGTTTGTGTACGATTGTGTACACATGATGTATGTATGCATTATTCTCTAATTATATTTCTTTATTATATCCATAACATGCATTATTGATAACAGGCATTGGTACTCTGAAAGATGATTGCTTAGAAGAGCCGAATGTCAGAC